TAATTGTTTATTTAACAAATGAAGCATTTTTGTTAGAGTGTGGCAAATGTCACACACGGTTCAACGAAAATGTCTGGAAAATGTTCTCTCGGGGGGGTTTCGAGGTGCCCCTTTATCATTTTGGTGTCATATTTATTATTTTAGGCTAAATTGTTGTAACTTGGGTGATAACAAAAGAAAAACTCAACCCCCGAAATCACTAGAGAGCCGGAATTTTTTCCAGCATTTCTGGCTTGTTAAGGCGAACCATCAGCACAAGATTTTTGCAAACAATTGTTTATTGTTCGATTGTTGCGACCTCGCTAATTAACAAATTAATAACTCGACTCCCGGAATCGTTAGAAACACAATTTTTTTTGTAATAACTCTGGGATCATGAGAAGAACTATTGCCAGAAGGTTGTTGAAAATATAATTGTTTATTTTTGAATTGTTGGAACCTGGTTAATTAACAAATTAATAACTGTCATCCAACAAATGTCAGAACACAGGTGTTTTTTCTGTAATGCAATGGGGGATATTCAGAACTCGTAGCCAAGGGCTTCAAATTGTTCTTGTATTGAAATTATGTAGGTAATGGAAGGTTACTTGAATAATGCAATGATATATTATTAATGATATTAATAATATTTATTGGCAAAATACCATGCACGTACTGATAAGCTTTACATTGGAACAAATATTCTTAGTGCACGTCTTCACAAAAAACTTTCGTCAGTTTGATCTGTTTCGAAATAGTCAACTACAGAAACATTGTTGGGGGATAATGTCAATGGTCGGTGGAGGTACAAAATCAACAGCAGCCAGATCACCATCGTCTGCATCTTCTATAAACACAGGTTTGCAGGAAACACACTGGTGCAGAGCCTGTGGTTGTGCATGAACAAAATATGACCTCTAGTAGAGAAGATGAAGCAGCTTCATTAGTCATCGAGATCGGTTTACAACAATTCTTCCTAGTATCAAATTCCCAGTCCCAATCACTGGGGCCCAAAATGTTTCCCATCCAGCATTAAATTTGGAGATAAACTTTCTTGATGTGTTGTAGAGCTGCATCTTCAGTAGGTGGTAAACATCACAAGAGTACTTTGGTCTTCTTAGATCGTCTTGACACATGCTATGAGTGTTATTTAATGTCCCCTCCAAATCCTTCCCATAATAATAATAATAATTTAGGAGCTCATTGACTGGACTATTGTCGTTCGCAGTAAGATAGAGGCCCGCGTCACTGTGGAAACCGAGTGGGACACGCGCTAACGTGTACGTCTTGTAGTCGGTTGTTTGATGTTTAGTGCAGATTGGGGCGCAAATTTTTTCGTGGCTCCCGCACCTTTGCAGGCCACGAGCCGCCACTGATTAAGATTTTTGAAATCATAGACTTTTACTCCAGTTTATAGGAATTTGTAAATAACCGTTATGTTATTAACTGTTCATCAACCCATCTCATATATTCCAAAACTGATAAACACATTCTCGAATACTCGAGAAACTTCATTGCAATTTTACGTCTCATAAAGAAACATGATCGCCTCTGCATTCATAATAAACACGTGGGAATGAAGTGGTAGAACATGTAAATTTTCTGAGAATTTGACTAATTATTCTACAGAATTATTCTAATTCTCCAAATACAGAAATAGTATTTTTATAGTAGTAGATACATTATTTGCCTTTATGAAGAGACCCAGTGGGCGAACTTTGAGTCAAATTAATTTTCTATGATACGTGACTCAATGAAAAACTTTTTAAGTGATTTGTTAGAGTGGAATCAAAAGTCTTTTTGATTCGAATTAATTAGCTTGTACACATTTAACTGGCATTAACGTCCAAAATCTCGAAGACGGGATATTATTCGTGGAGTGGGCATAAATAAATTCACTTTTTGTCGATACGTGCCAAGAGAAATTTTATTTGAAAAGCATGTTGTTCACGCCAATTTTTGTGAAAACGATCATTTTTAAAATTCACTTTTTATTATAATATAACTTAGGTGCAACAATATAAATATCTTAGGCATGAGGTTAGTGCCAGATTTTTTTACAAAAGAACGAATTTATCTGGATTTTAACGATATCATCAATCTTTTTTTAAGCGATACTTTATGTACATCTCTTAAAATAAAACTAAAAAAGTAAAAAAAAATGGAATGTGAACCTTCTGTGGTAAACGGTTCCTCCAATGCCTCCCTTTCCCACGCACATACACAAGTGGATTTTTTTTAGACTGAAATTGCTAATTTGTTTCTTTTCTTTCTTTTCTTTCTTTTCTTTCTTTTCTTTCTTTTCTTTCTTTTCTTTCTTTTCTTTCTTTTCTTTCTTTTCTTTTCTTTTCTTTCTTTTCTTTCTTTTCTTTCTTTTCTTTCTTTTCTTTCTTTTCTTTCTTTTCTTTCTTTTTCTTTCTTTTCTTTCTTTTCTTTCTTTTCTTTCTTTTCTTTCTTTTCTTTCTTTTCTTTCTTTTCTTTCTTTTCTTTCTTTTCTTTCTTTTCTTTCTTTTCTTTCTTTTCTTTCTTTTCTTTCTTTTCTTTCTTTTCTTTCTTTTCTTTCTTTTCTTTCTTTTCTTTCTTTTCTTTCTTTTCTTTCTTTTCTTTCTTTTCTTTCTTTTCTTTCTTTTCTTTCTTTTCTTTCTTTTCTTTCTTTTCTTTCTTTTCTTTCTTTTCTTTCTTTTCTTTCTTTTCTTTCTTTTCTTTCTTTTCTTTCTTTTCTTTCTTTTCTTTCTTTTCTTTCTTTTCTTTCTTTTCTTTCTTTTCTTTCTTTTCTTTCTTTTCTTTTCTTTTCTTTCTTTTCTTTCTTTGGCTCTCTGACAGTTACTTTCTTTTCGATATTTCGTGGTTGCCCATTCTTTTGGATTGGTTATAATATGGTACCTGAGATTATATGACTCTTAGAAGGTTCCTTAAAGCCTGGTTTGAAGGTGATTGTGAAAACGTTTAAATGTAAACAAACCCACCCAGTTTTCTGTGTCTGATGACGATCTGAAAGGTCGAATGTAGTCGTTTTAAAAATGTTTTCTAGTTAATTGATTATGTTTTACCGATTTGGTGTTTTGATTTATTCTTTGAATATACACTGACCACATTTGAGAAATGGATAATCTAGTCTACTTAAATTCTTAGATTACAAATCATTTAGTTCACGAAGTTTTGCTAATCGGTGGTTTAATTGGGCTCCCCACTATATAATTGTAAACATTCAAATCGGTATTAAAATAATGTATTATAAACATATATCCCATATACCTTTTTTCAAGAATAATTCGCATCTTCTGTTAAACTGATTTTAAATCTATTATCCAATTATTTACAGCAGCTTGCTTGATTCCTTTTATTTGTATTAGGGGTAACTTACCCTTAGTTTAATGCTTTTGTATTAAAGAGAACAGCTTTATTGGCTTCTTGCACTTTGATGCTTTCAGTGAAGAACAATAGATTTGCAAACGTATGTAAGTGGTAGGCAGGTAACTATTTAATAATAGAGCTATTGTAATACGACCCCAAGCCGAAATAGTTGGTTTGAAACCTATTGTCCTATTATATTATTAGTCTTTTTTTGTTAAATTAAATAATACGAGTACAAACAATCCATTGGCTTGAGTTTATTTGACTTATATTGCGTTATTACGTTTGATAGTGTGAATGTTGTTCTTACTGGCAAGTTTGATAACACTGTGTCCAAACAGATGCTGATTTTGTTTGTTTTTAAATTATAATCATCAAACTTAACCTTTATTTTTCAATAAACTGCTGAAATATCGAAAATAGCTAATATTGGACATACTGTCAGCTTTAACTGTATGATCATACCAACTGGTATTGATGACAAAATGACCGTGGCCTGACTGTTGGCCGTAGTGTGACCTGTATATGGTCGACATTTTACAAAGTCAAATGACATTGGCTTTTGCATTAAACAAATTGATGATTTTACAAATAAAATAAATAAAAAACGAGATCAGTTTGAACACTTTTGGAATAAGACTCAAAACATTGGCTTAGAATCTGAAAGAAAGAGAATTAGAATTGATAATATTTTACAACAAATGAACTCTCGATTTCAAAACTTTAACGAATTAAAATTTGTTGAATTGTGCAATTTTAATATTAGTAACTAAGATTCATTAAAATTTCCATCTGAAGCTTTTAATTCACTAAAATTTAATTATGGAAATGTTTTCGATATTCCAGCATTAAACTCCCAGTTAAGTGTTGTTTATGAAACAACTGAAATTAGTGATAAAAAGACACCCGTCAATGTGTTAAATTTTCCTATAAGAACTGGTTTAAATAAGTCCCTTTGTGAAGTCGTCAAGTTGTGTGAGTTAGTACTAACCATCCCAGACACAAGTGCGTCAGTTAAGCGAAGTTTTTCAGATTTAAAGCGCATTAAAAGTTTTATACGAAATTCAACAAGTGAAGACAGACTCTCTAATTTAGCGCCCAACATCCATTAAAAAAGAGCTTGTTAAACAACAAATTTGCAGCCATTGAGGATAGGTGAATAGATCTTAAGTATAAATAAATGTCAATTGCTGTGTCAACTGTGCGAAAAATGCTGGAAAAAATAAAAAAAAAACTTTAGTTAAATGTTTTTTTTACGTTTAAATAAACCAAGGAAGCTTTTCAATTCAATGGTAAGTTTTTTTATAGCTTCTAGTACTGAACTAGGTAATAAAGTAATAGTAACACTTCAAAAATCTCAATCTCGAATATCCGTAGTAGTGAGGAAAAAAGCAAGATTTTGACAAAATGGTGAATGCGCCGCGAAAATTTTTCGTTTGCGGCGCTGTGCTTACTGGCCTGTTGTATTTTTATACAATCGCTTCCCCTTCCAAAAATGTCACCGCACGCCACTGCCCTAACTATAAATAGATTTAAGCAAAATATTCAAAACATACCTACTAAAGTAATCCATAACAATTTTAACAATTTATTGTAACTTAAATAGACTTGTCCGAAAACATACAAAATATAAAAATTCATATTAGATAAAATAGTATACACAATAAATCGCAATGAAGAAATACTGGAAATCTGCGACAAACAATCAGCATCGGCATCATCTCTTTCATGCATCTCGATTCAAGACACCACACGGTTCTTGGCATATAATGCAGAGGTGTACAAAATTGCGCAAGCACGTTTATCCCCCTCATAACATTCTATTTAAAACCATCCATCCCCGGTTCTGCGCGCTAGTAATTTCAACAGTCTCAGTGTCATACCAGTCCTAACTCTCGAGCGTTCGAGTGATTTTTATCGTGTAGTGACAGACAGTGCAGTAGTTCAAATTTCACAATGTCCGAGGGCAACAAACGTAACATTCCCATCAAAATGGGAGATTTCAGTGTTATCGACACGGAATTCAGCAGCATCAGGGAGCGATTTGACGCAGAAATGAGGAAAATGGAAGAGGAAATGAGCAAATTCAGATCGGAATTGATGAACAGGGAGTCCAATAATTTCTTCAGGAGTACCACAAGGTACCTAACTAGCCTTTAAAATATTTAAACTTAGTAGATAATAGCGAGTTTACTTCGAATGAGTGTAAGTTCTCTCAACTTTCTTGAAGTTTCTGTTAACATGTGGATGAAATATTGATTCGGTATCTTTACAAACAAATCCTGCTTCGACGCCCTTCCAGAATAAGTGGAATTGGATAAAATTAATTGAGTTAAATATTAGTCGATGGATGATATACTTTATTAATAAAGCAATTAGATTAGTTTTCATTTAATAAAAAATATAAATTAAATAAATAAAATAATGAAAAAACTCAACCAGTTAATAATTTGGTAAATAATTGTGAGTAAATAAATAAGATTTGTGATCAACACAAGACTTTCCCTAATTAGTTTAAAGTACTAACTTATTAAAAAGATGAATTATGTAATGACAATCGGACTTCTCAATACTTTTTTATGTACAATTTAAAAAGAAAAATTAAACAATTTTATCCACTTTGATCGTTAGGACAATTTTGTTGAAAATGTAGAAACATATTAACAGTTGTATTGAGTGTTACTTAATTTGATCATTGTTATTTTATTAGTTTGTTTGTAATGGTACCTGTTTAAGGCAATTAACTATCAATGATGAATACCTACCTACTATATCACTGTTACTCGAAAAGAGCAATTAGTTATACATTAACATAGCAAATTAAATGTTTATTAAAATAAATGAAAATAACAGCAACTTAATTTGGAAATTATTGCACAGATAAAAGCTGCACAGGAAATTCATAGTAACATTCAAATTTAAATATCTATATGCTCTCTACCGTGTCTAATTTTCAACAATATATACCAACTAAATATTCTAGAAGCATTTTAAAATAGAATCTGCTAAAGTAATAATTACTTAGTTATGAACATTTGGAATACAACCAAAAAAATGTCTGTAATGCAAATCAATAATAATGATCAACAAATCTAGCCGTATCCGGCTGGACGAAAGTATTGGTCTTTCGTAATCATGTTGCTCTTTTTTTTTTTTTTGTTTATATCTATTGTGCTTTTTATATTGATCATTCGAGGTCGCTTGACAGCAAAAAATTATGACTGTTCGAATTGTTTGAAGGCTTTGCTATTATTAATGGATTGGAATATTAAAATTAACACTTCTGAAGTATTTTATTTGTCCGAGTATTTGTCTATGGAAATTGAGTACAAGACTAAGTCGAAAATATTTGTCAGTCAATAATTTCTTATAAAAGTAAGGTCGAAGCCTTTGCAATTATCCACGGTAATGGCATTTGAATCATTTGATGAAGAATAAGTAGAAATGTATCGCTAAATAATTTCCTCCAAATTGAGTGTTATTACCCATCAGTTGCTATTTTTGGAATATTAGAGACTCATCGTTTGTCGTGTTATTTGTTCTGTTTCTTTGTATCTATATAATTTCCTATTTTGTATACGAGATTAAATTTTTGCTCATCTATTGTATAAAAAAAAACTTAAACGATCTACAATTATATTGCTTTTACCTTTTTAAAAGAATATCGGTTGTGGGAATATAGTTTTAAACCACTTTTTATATATTAAAAATAGCTGAAATTTAAGATGATAGTTACTAATTTATCATGATCAAATAGGCAATAAATATTATAATAAAAATAATGCATCACATAAAAGGTGAAAATAATTTTGTTTCAGTAACAGTAACGAATCAAATTCAAGCTTACCATATTTGGCGATTTTAAATATTCAAAAAAATTAATTGTGTGTAGGTAGGTAATTACAATTCAAAATTTAACGAGTAGGATATCTGGTTATTATCATATTATCTTGACCCAGTATCTGCCGAGATATTCATGACATAGGTAGTTCAAAACATAATACATTTCTTATCATACTATCATAAATAAATAACAAATTTAAATTAATAATACATTGTACCTTTTTCTACTATTATAATGAACGCAAGAACGCATTTCTGTAGTTACATTCCTTTCCATTGATTTTGGCTAAACGAAACTGACAAGAATATTTCTAATATAGGAGATACATTAGCCACAATGGGTACTAATATCTGCGAATTTAGAAGCGGCACATATCCTTAATTAAGAAAATTTTATTTATATATACTGATTATGGATTAAATGCAATCGATTTATAAATTTATAACTCTCTACTTGGGGTGGATTCAATTTCTAAAAAGTTAAAAAAATTACTCACTAAATACAATTTAAAACAAAACATAAAAAAATCTTTACCTTCTCGTCTTTCAGCTTCTACACCTTTTATAATCCCGACGACCAATCTGTTAATCTTCCCTTTATCTTTTTCTATACTTACTTGATCAGCTTCTTTTTGTCTTTTCGTTTTTCTGCTACTTCACCCTTTTCTAAATTCTGTACACCTCTGATTCTTTCCAAAATACTCCCTTTAAAATCTTTTTATCTTCAGCATCTTTTTAACTTTTATAAAGTATAACTCTTTGTCCTTTATATTTTATAATCTTTATTTTATCTAACTTCAACCTTTTTTACAACTTGCTTCTAATATTAACTAATCCTTCTTTCTTAACTTTTCAGCACTCTGACAATTCAAAACCTTCTGACGATTCTAAAAAAATCCCACTGACCATTCTCTTTACAAATGGATATTTTTAAAATTCAATTTTCAAGAATTTGACCATCCCAGTATTGATTAATATAAATTTGACAAAAAAAAAAACATGACGTATAATTTTCCCCCCAGAAATATCCATTGTTAAGTACTAAGCAATCCAATAAAAGGTGTTTTTATGTAGTATGTATGTATTTGCAAAGCTTTAACCACAGCACAGACGTCTTATGATCCATTTGTACATGTCACTGATTGAGAGTAAAAATAAATCGGTGTTTCAAGCAAAGGATAACGCCGATTCTATTGAGGTATCTCTAATATCCTGGGTTAGAGAGGAGCTGTGTAATAGAGAATGTGGATCAGTTTGCAGGTTGCGCCTATAGATGAGAGATAGTAGCGGTTAGGGTTGTACAGGGTGTTCCATCTCAGACGAGCCACCCCGTATATTTCTTATCCCATAGTAATTGAAAAAATTACTCAGTCATTAATCTGTTGAGTAGTAACTCAACAGATTAATTTTTAATACATGAAATGATCGAAGAAACGTGATAAACACCTTCTAAGAACAAAAAATGAAGGCAATATAAGAAAATGTTTTTATTTTTTTTTATTTATTAGTTCGAGAGAATTTATTATTGTATGGAGGACAATTTGAACATTTGATTTAAAAACGCAGTTTTGATTTTTTTGATTGCAAGCATGATGAAACAATTAATTTTTTTAAGTGTGATTTTTTTCATATATCGTTGTAAAGAAGCTTCCAAGACCTTACAAATTAGGTATCACTCAAACCCTCTTCCCTATTCAATTTTGAGGGGTTGAAGCGCTCCCTCATAGGGGGTTGCTCGTTTAAGCCTCAAATATACGTCAAATAATGTCCCCCAAAGAAAATCACCGACGTGTTTCGGGAAATTTTTCCAATTACTATGGGCTAAGAAATATACGGTGTGGCCCGTCTGAGATGGAACACCCTGTATAATAAGTGAAGCAAGTCACTTTGAAAACATGGTGGAATACTATTAGTAATGATATGAGGGACAAGGAACTTGATATAAAAAGGACCCAACCTAAAAGACGAGGTCGAAATGATGATATTCATCACGTCTACCTTGCTTACTTTCATCATTGCTCAAGCAAGTTTTTGGTTACTTGTGAGGTTTAGGTCCATGTGGTAGAATAGATTTCTAGAAAGATTCTAGACTCGTGCTATACTTACAGGGTGACCAGAGGCCAAACAAAAACGTCCCAAAGATATCAGGAATTGCGTCAAAATTTTAGACAAACGCTCGAACCCGTTAGATTTTGATTAAGCAGGGATATCTTTTTATCATATCTTTAACTGTAATATGTCATCACTTTAACCAATACAATTTTAAATAATATGACACATTATTGAAAAGATCATTTTATGTAAAATTCAGCTATGTGCCTAGTCTTTGCTTTGATTTTGATTGTAGGCCCTCTCGCGGATAAAAAACTACGTATTAGGGTTGGTATATCTAAAGGGTTGCGACATTAAGATGTATGCAGTTAAATAGCAAAAAAACGCTTATACATTTTTCATAAATTGGCAGTCTTGGCAAATACTATTAACGAATAGAAATAGCGTCCAAGATGGAAGACTATGTCGCAATCTCCTTAGATATACGAGCCCTTGCCACTGGTAGCTACTGTTTGACAGGTTGTTGAAATGCCTAATTGTAAAATGTGACACTTCATTTAAAAGCTAATTTCATTAGTAATTTTCCATTAAAGTTTGTATTTGTAAACGTTAGAGCTGTGCAATATTTTATAAAATTAGCTTTCAAATTAATTGTCACACTTTACAACAGTTTTTTTCCGCTAGAGTGTGTTAAATTCAAAAGAGTAACGCAATGAATAATCATATTGTTGAATTCTCCAGGAAATTACCTTATACTAGCTCTGGTGCGTTTTCGTCGGATGTAAATCTCACAAAAATTCTCAATGCAGAAAATAAAAATCGTCTAAAATAATTTTCTATATTAAATATTATTTTGTTGGAAAAAAAACCGAAGTCGGTATATTTCAATTGATATAATAATTTATGTAACAACATAAAACACCTTTTTAAAACTGACGATGATTACATCTAACTATATTTACATTTTACCTTGGAATCTGCTAAACTATTATGTTTGCAATGTAAACAAATGAAAATCTATCGAGTTCCAAACCATGACATCACAAAATAAAATATTAGGTACTAGTTTTTCAAGTATCTACAAACATAATAAATAGGTACATGGATATTAAAATTTATTTGGGTTAAGTTTTGAGTAAAGTCAATTATTTGACAATTTTTATTACTAACGTTGTTTGTTGTTCAGCATAAACAAACAAACATTTTTGGAATACTTAATTAGATTCACTTGTTTGGTTTCTAGTTT